ACTTGGAAAAAACTGTATTTCTAGATGTGAACCTTTTGTCTTCTGCCCTTTCCTCATAGAGACTCAACAACCATTTACTCTATCTCATGTATGGGCAACATACTCTGACAAGAAAGCAAGATGGGGAGAGGTAGGAAGGAGGTGATCTCCCCAAGAACAAAAAAACAATAGATGTTCCCTTCTCCCTAGCCTGCGTGCCAACCTTAGCAGTGGTGGCACCTTTGTGATTATGGAGTGAAAAACGGAATCGATCCAGTTGAAAAATAACAATGAGAGTGTGAAAAAAAGGAGAAAAGGAACTGAGACCAGTTAATCAATCCAGCTTCCTACTAGGTCTTCAAACATTTGTGCTCACATAACACACAATGCTATCACTGAAGGTGTGGCCAGGTGTGTGAAGGTGTACCACACACCATCACACTACAGGATAATCTCCCTTTTGTGCAATTAAATCTAAGAACTTATGCTCATCTTATAAAACCAAACCTGCAATTGAATCTTCATAGTGGCACTTACATCACCCAAAGCTCTCTCCAAGCACGATGTTAGTTTCATTAACCCAAGAGCAACTTCTGTAGATTGGGCGTATTGTAGAACATCAAACACTTCAAGAAATAACTGTGTGATTTGGGAAGGGGGGTTGGAGAGAAGAAGAGTGTTGAATTACATATTCAGAAGGAGAAATCAAAATCACACAAAAAATATGATCTAAATATTCATATGTGATAGTCACTATGCAAATACAGAAATAAAACCACGCCAAGGTGATCAAACTGTGGATGATTGAAGGGTTACTGTCCACACCTCCTGTATTTTCAGTCGAAACTTATTTAGTACAACACATCTAAAAAAAACTATCCGTGACTTTGCATAATAATACTTGATATTAAGCACAGACCACTAGGTCTTACAGAAAAAGAAGATACTACTATCTTTGGTTAGAACAAACCCTATATGTATATATAAATATATATATCTAATTACTGAGTCAGGAAAATTAGAAGTGACTATATAAGAGAAGGACAATTAGAAACACATTTTGGATTGTTGATCTCTTTTGTGTGTACTTCCAACAAGAGGTCATGTGCCAAAATACAACTGTCAACAGATATTTCCATACCTCTGTGTAGTTTGTCCACTGGAACCATAATGCATACTGAACTACAAATTTGTCCTTGGTGAGAGATTTGAAGTGCAAATTAACAGATTCACATACAGGTCCAAGCGATCGTATGCTTTTGATATAATCCACACTTTGGTCTTGAATTGAAAAATGGGATGTGGTTAGAACCAAACTTTCTGAAGGTTCTATATTTTAGAAGTCATAACAAGTAAAGCATCCAACAGTCTATATATACATTTAGCTCAAACATTTTTATCTCTGTTAGTTCAGCACAAGCAGTAAACTACAATTTACTGTCCAAAAGAACAGACAAATGAACTACAGAAAAGTGCGTTGTAAAACCAGATTCAAATGCCTTCTCCAAAACAAAACTTAACATAAGAAAACACAGAATTGAAGTTCTATTTATGTCCTAATATAACACATCTAATTATGCTCAATTTTTATTGAAAGTGGAAGAATCCACTAGTAAAAGAGCGCAGCAATTCCACGTAACCAAGCTGGAAGCTACTGCAGGCTTTGAGGTCTTAATCAAGCAGCACCACTTACACCCTTTAAAGAATGCAGATTGATGTGGTACACTACAGAGCGGTATAACTGCTTCTCTTGGGTGGCAATCTTCTCCTGACTCATGGAAAAATATTGCCCAGGGCAGAAATATCTACCATTTTCACCATTTCAGCAAATTAGCAAAAGCTTGCAGTTTGGCAAATGAACAATCAGTTCATCAGAATAGAAACATTTTGTTCTGCTTAAAAAAGCATAATTATAAACTGTTCTACATACAGAAGGGAGAACAAATAATACTTCTGTACAAGTGAAAGATGAAGAAAAGGAAACAAAAACAACAGTAGCCCTACTGATGACTCCCAGGTGTTTTAAATTTACTGCAAAAGGCATACAAAGAACATAGAAGAAAACAAGTATGAGCCATGAGAGTGGCAAACTCCTTACGTACAAGCAAAAGGAGATGGGAAACAAGAATGGGGAAACAAAAATTGAACTATCTATGTAGCACAGATTACATGGATCTTAGGAGTCATCTATAACCAAATACTAGAAATGGATAAAACATTTAAAGCTCCCTGTAAATACTAAATGTACATATTCCAGCAGAAAAGCTAACGTTATACCAAAATAAAATATTACAACTAAGTTCTGAGTACTGTGAACTATAATGAGATTCTACATCAGCTGTAAACATCTTTTCATCGTATCAGAATAATACCAACCTGATTCAAGATAATGCACGTGCTCTGTAATAGATTGCCAACATACTTCTCCATTTTCAGACACAATATTATTAATATCATAGACGTCTTTTTTTTCAAAGCCAAGTTTGCAAATCACATAATGCACAGGTGGAGAAAGACAAGTTGTGACTGAGTCTGATGATGCCATCTGAAAAAGGAAGGACAAAATCGCTTTTATTTGAATAATTTCAGTTTGGTATTGTATGGGAACTGCTGAATCGTGGCCTGAACCTGTGATTGATCACCTGAGGTGAGCAATGACTCAGCCGAGGAGCACCGGAGGAGCGCTGCCGGAAGGTGGAGCCTGGCTTCATCTCTCCTAGACCCATTTAAGAGCTGACTACCAGTGGAGAAGGATCTCTTCTGGAGATCCACTCCTTGCAAGTTTCATAAGTGAGCCCAAAATACAGGTACCCATCTTATCTTTTCTGCTTTGGTGTAATAACTGTGTAGCAAGCTCTCTGGTACATCTCCTAACTATAACATCTATACATTCATTGATTGTATATTTCAGATGCATTCTACCTACCAAACTAATCACAAGGAAGAAATTCTTTAGTCAGAGAGTTGTGAGGCACTGGTACAGGCTGCCCAGAGGCTGTGCATGCCCCATCCCTGGAGGTGTTTAAGGTCAGGTTGGATGGAATTGTGGGCAGCCTTAGCTGGCTGGGGTAGCACTGCCCATGGCAGTGGGTTGGAACTGAGCGGGTGCTGGTGTCCCTCTGACTCAAACTATTTTGTATATAAGGGGTGCTCTGAAACAGTACCTCCTATTTCGTTGGCTCATAACGTCAAAAGTGGATGTTGGTGGTATGGCAGTCTAGGTTGAACCTTCCCACCAATATTCTGCTATGTTTTGTTGCTGCGTGACAGAAGGCAGCAGAGGAGTAGTCTGACCAAATAGCATCTGACATGGAAGTGCATATGAAGAAAGGGAGTGGAACTGAATTCCTCTATGCAAAAAAACAAAAAACAAAAAACAAAAAAAAAAAAAAAAAAAAAAAAAATTGCACTCACTGACATTCATCAATGCTTGCTGTTCATTTATAGAGACCAAACAGTGGATATGGGGCAGTGGGTGGTGCGTTTCAGCAGTAGTGACTGCAACAAGAAAGCCAAGCCACATCCTGGACAGCCATGCACATCTGTCACACCACAAAATGAAACATCTCAATCAGCTCATCCATGCTAACTGGCTACTGGCAGTGACTATATTGAAAAATTGTGCTTTGAAGCTGCAAATGTGTTCTATCAAGCAATGTTACTGCACCCTTTGTCTCTGCTGTAGCTTTCCTAACATAAATAAGAAACAAATAGGAGGGATTACTTTCAGAGCAATCTATGCAGACAGACTGAAGATCACGGCCTGTATGTGAGCTCTGCACACCCCCCGCTGCAATCAGGTGCCATCTGCTGTACCCAGCCTGCTATTAACCTAAGATGGCCGCGAAACACCGTTCGACAAACGCTTAATTGGGTCCTTCGCTCCGGATTTCACCGCCAGAGCACCACGCGAACCGCAGCAAACTCCGCTGCGCAGAGCACAAGCGACGAGGCCTCGGGGAACCCCGCAGCGCCCGAGAGCGGTGCGCTCGCACACCCGCACCGCGGCGGCCGTCACGGCCATTACCTCCGCTGCTGCCGGGCCCTCCCGCTCAACGTCACGGCGCGCTGCCGGAGCGCAGCGTCACGCCGGCCGCACGCGAGCGTGGCCGCTGCTCCCGGCGTTGGGAGCAGGGCGGAGGTGCACCCTCCGGCCGACCCCTCCTTGGGGAAAGCGGCGCTGCCAGCCGGCAACCATGGAGGATTCCTCCAACGTGTCGAAGTTGTCCGCCACCGCACACAGGCCAGGAAGGCGGCGAACGAGCGTGTGGGATAGAAACATCGTGAGCGGCCGGGCCGGGAGGACGGGTGTGAGGGAGGCGTGGCGGTCATCGCGGCCGCGCCCCGCGAGGGGCGGTGATGGCCGCCGGCAGTTCTGTGTGTGAGGGACGAGCGTGCCCTGTGCTTGGAGAAATACTCCGTTTGTGTAACTTTAAAGCAACTCTTGTTAAAGCTGCCCTAACAACAAGCAGTATTTCGTTCAGATGAGCCGGCAGTGTGTGCCCCTGTGACCCAGAAGGCCAATGGGATCCTGGGGTGCATCATAAACAGAGTGGCTGGCAGGTCAAGGGAGGTGATTCTCCCCCTCTGCTCTGCCTTGGTGAGGACACGTGGAGTACTGTGTGCAGTTCTGGGCTCCCCGGTTCAAGAAAGACAGGGAGCTGCTGCAGAGAATCCAGCAGAGGGTCACAAGGATGATAAGGGGTCCGGAGCATCTCCCTTATGAGGAAAAGCTGAGTAACCAGGGTCTGTGCAGCCTGGGGAAAAGAAGACTAAGGGGATTTTATCAATGTTTATAAAAATCTGAAGAGCAAGAGCCATGCGGTTGGGGCCGAACTCTTTTTGGTGGTGCCCAGCAACAGAACAAGCAACCTGGGCATACACTAAAACAGGAAGTTCCATATGAATATGAGAAAAAAATTTACTTTGAGGGTGACAGAGCACTGGAACAGACTAGAGGTTGTGGAATCTCTTCTAGAGATATTCAACACCCACCTGGATGCTTTCCTGTGCAACTACTGTCCAGAACCTGCTTTAGCATAGGGTTGAAATAGATGATCTCCAGAGGTGCCTTCCATCCCCTATAACTCAGTGTAATCCTCTATAATTTTGTGAAATGCCAAAATCTTTGTTTTCTAATCATATTGATACTCATATGTCCAAAATTAAGCTTCTCCCAGAGTCCAGGAATACAAAACAGGCTTTAGTACAGGCTTTAGTAGTTTCAATGCAAAATCAGTTTGTGTGGCTCTGATAGATTCTTCCAATGAAGGCATAGATACTGCGTAGAAATGTAATCACAACACAACATTGTGCTACATTTTGGAACACCATGCTAGTGCACATGAAGAAGCAAATGGTAAAATTCAGTGTTTGTATTGTGAAATACAGTAGTAGGTTTGCTTGTTAGCCCTTTGGATGTCTTAGTTACTGAATTAATGAAGTTAACAACTGTGGAGAAACTGTTAGATCACATCTTGAACTGGTGATGGAGCACCTGGTGAAGGGGTGTGGTTGGCCTAGGGAGCATAGGCAAATTGACCAGAAAAGGTGGATCCATGGTGGAGATATGAGATACCCTTGGCTCATGTAAGAGCCAGACACTGGAAGGAGGGCATCTTTTGGACCTAGGCTGCTTCTTGTGAGGGAGTGCTGCTGTAGCCAGAAAGCTCCTTCACCTGTTGGGTGAATTCTTTCTGTAAATAACTGTTGGCTTACCTATGAATGCCTTAACTAGTATTGCCAAGAACCTGTCAAAAACAATTTCAATTCTTCATGAGCAGAACAGCACTGTATAGAGATGATGTTGATGATATCGCCTCATTGGTAAATGGTTTCTTGCAGGAAAGGAAACGTCTGTGGAAGTTTCTGTTATTACTGCTAGCTGTTAAACTTTAGGTAATAGCACTATTTGAAGTCATACACTGTAGACATGTTTTCTTTTATCTACAATTATAGAGGCTGAAGATTTTTGTGAATCGTGTTCAAATGTGTTATCAATGAATTGCTTTTTAGATTGTGACTGCTTTCACAGGTTCAGTTCCTTTGAAATGGTTTGGGATGCTCATGAACTGGCTCAGATAGCAATTTCTTAATATATGTATATATTAATATATATATATTTGTGTGTGAATATATATATTGTATGTGTGGTGTGTGCGTATGTATACATTATATATATATAAATTCTCTTTTAAGAAGACCTGCAATGAGCAGGTAAAGGCTAACTCTTCAGAGTTTTGAGTTTCAGATTAGGAGAGTCCACAACCTGAGTGGAACTTGTCTACTTACATCTTAGTGCAGTATCAGAACTATTTAGAGCTCAAATTGTTGACATTAATCTTTTTTTCTAGAAATATTAAATACTTTCCTGGATATTTTCCTGTTCAGCATACTGTAGGGAACCTGCTTTGTCAGGGGAGTTGGATGTTGTGACCCCCCTCCGAGATCCCTTTTAACGCCTACAATTCTGTGATGTGGTAACAACACTTGCAGGCAGTTTGCATAAGGGCTGCCAGTATCCTAAATAGCTCTTAGCAGAATTAATCTAATGTTAAGGAAACAGGAGATATAGGCGTAGGTAATGTCTTTCATGTTAACGTGGCTAATGTTTAAGTGACATCATAGAAACTATTTTGCTTCCCTTATTTTCAGACTCCTCTGGCTGAAATACTTGTGAGCCTCTGAGTAATGTGTCTTCTCAAGAAAATTGTACTAGATTTTTGTGTTACCTATGTTTGTTCTATTTGTTCAGTTCCTTTTAGTGTAAGCCCTTCACTGTGGTTTTATACCCTCTTCGTGCTCTCTCCTTAAAGGTAGCTGGTAACTTTCTCTGGTTTAAATTCTCTCTGTAGTCAGGAAGTAGAGCAAGGGACTGAGGAACTGGGGATACTGGAAAGTGGATACAAGGTAGCTGGTGTGGATGACTGCTGACTGTGGCTTTTGTTGCAATCTCACTGGTTCTGTGCGCTTTTGTCATCTTACTGTTCAATGGTTGTAGTTTAAGCCAACCATGGAGACAGCAGGTGGTGACACCAGTATGTACCATTAGACCTGCAGCTTGTATTTGCGGAAGGCCAACTTTTGTTTTTGTATTGAAGAGAATTATGTTACAGAATCTGGGTGAGGAGAAGATCTGAATCTTCAGAGTTCTGAGGACTCACAAAAAGAATTGCTATCCCGCTTTTAAGTTCCAATCAAAATGACAAAGCTTGCACATTGAAGTACATTTTGAATTAGCAGATGAAGACGTTAACTCATAAAACATTTGCTTAATAGGACAAGTAAAATTTCCTAGTAAACAAACCAAATGTGTATTTTAGGTTTTGTGTACAATGTTTGAATGAGAATCTTGAAAGTCTTGAGCAGGGGTTTGTGGAATTTTCCTCTAAACCCAAAGTGGATTTTGGGTACTAGTATGGCATGTTGTTTTTTTTTTTGTTTGTTTGTTTGTTTTTTAAGCTGAGATTAAGTACAAACTTAATTTTAGTTTGTGTAAAAGAAATGAAAATTGAGCAGAAGGAAAGTACTATTCTACTTTTCAGTGAAGGTAGTGGTCTCAAAACAGCCTGAAAAAAAGCTATGAGTTTTCCGTGACACACTCCTAGACTGTTTTGTTGTTGTTGTTCCCTCTTATGCACTCCCATAAGGTATTTTCTAGAAGCCATTAAACACTAGATCATTGATATGTAATGCAGTTTTTTCTTATTTTGCACAGATGAAAGGAAAGAAGAAGCTATCAAATTATGAAGGCTTAGCCCCTATGAAAGAAGAGTGTTTCGGTGCAAAAATTAAATATCTTAATACGTACAGACTGGAACCATATAATAAATTTCAGGATCAGTTAGTAAGAGACAAAGCTCAAGCAATATTAACGGTATAGTATTTTTTTATGAACTGTCTTTTTTTTTTTTTTTTTTCCAGTAGTAGTTTGTGACTATATGAGCAGAACATTGGAAGTTGCTTAAATAAATGCATAGGTCTTAGCAGGCATTGTTTTGGCGCACATGTAGTATGAATGTGCTCTGTTCTGCAAGGTGCAGAAGGCTTTCTGCGAGGTAGTCACAAAGCATATGCTGTTAACATGGAGCTGAAGCTCTTTGCACTCCTTCCCACTTCTTAACTGGAGTGAGCTACAGCGCAGTTCAAAGTAGCCTGATCTCCAAAACACCCAGATAACCATCTTGTGGAACTATGCTTCAACTATTTCTAGTACTATCACATGAATTGCGTAAAATATTTGGTGTCCTCAACAGTCTGACCAATGTGTACAAAAGATAAGCAGGAAAAAGTGGGAGCAGTTTGTTAAAATGTAGCTGTTAGTGATACCTTGAAAAGCTACAACCAACTCCTGTAATTCTGAAGACCTGCCTTCAACTGGTATTTGCAGCGCTCTCTTCCAGTGAGGTGTCCCCGAATTTTGGAGATAAATAATACATCCCTGTTCACTGAATGGAGATAGGTTGGACATATTTAATTCTTTACTTTCAAAAAATAGACGAAACATTTTTTGAGTGAAAGTAGTGCAGCATTTCCTGTTTGTGAGCATCATTTCTACTTTACGGTTTGTTTTACTAGTTTCTTTTAAAGAAAATGCCTGTAAAAATTTCTTGCAAAGGACTCCCAGGATGAGAACTAAGATCTTTCAACATTGTTTTTGATAGAGTAAACTTCAACAAGCCAAATATGATGCAGATTCTAGTCCATCCTTGTGTGCTTCACTCTCAGAAGAAATATTAAAGGCTACAAAGGAAATGGGCTTTGACCGTTATAAGTACGTGGTAACAGTGCTAATTGTGGAAAAGGCAGGTCAAGCAATAAATGTGAGCAAACAAATTATTTATAATATCTTTTGAGAATTGAAAACAACCTTTAGAACTGTATGTTATCTCCTTGGCGTTATTCTATATTCAACAAAGTAATGAGAAGTGGGCTTGCAGCATTCAGGTTCCATACTTGTATATGGGGTTGGATTTCTTTAAACTTAATTTCTTTTCTTCTTCTTTTACTGAGGTCAGTAACAGTGGTAAAGCAGCCCATGCGTCTCTGTCAACCAGATGTTTCCACTCTGCCCTATGCCAGTATAACTGTGTGAAGGCAGTGAATATTTCTCTTTTCCAGCGAACGTTGATTTCCAGTTGGGTCACTGTATGCAAGTGCAAAATGCAGTGCAGTTGCTGTAGCATGGGGTGATGTGGAAAGGAACAGGTGCCAACAAAAGGAAGGGAAACTGTTTTAACTGCAGCTGCTGCCAAATGGATGCTGGTGGGACCACAACTTGACAAGAGTGATCTGAACTTAGTACACCCAAAGCAAAAGCATTTCAGACTGCAGTTTTCATGTGTAAATTTGCAGTGCTGTAAGCTTACTTTGGCATTCTGTGCTCTTTTTGGTCTCTTCCTGAATGCTGAAGAGCACTTGTAGTTATGAGTGTTGAGCATCACCTCTTAATACCTTGTGTCTTTCTAAGGTGAAATCATGCCTTGTTTCTAATGTACATTCTGAATCAATATTTGAAAGGATGCTGTCTTTGATCTGTGAAAGGCCTTTCTCTACCCACGTTCCCAGTGCTGTGTCACAGTATGCTGCTTCTAAATCTGTGCTGTGTGGGTGTGGAGCTGTAGGATGTGATGGTTTACTCAAATGCTCCAAACTTTTTTTTTTTTTTTCCATGAAGAATATGCTTATTTCAGCAATCAATTTTCACAGTTTAGATTTGAAATGAATTCTACAAAAAAAAAAAAAAAAAAAAAAAAAAAAAAGTCAAGAGCTCAGAATAGCTGCAAGTATACAAGTATACTTGAGTAAGCTGCTGCTAGAGGTGGAGGGGAACAGCTACTTCTTAGCTCAGTTTGTTGCCAGCACTGGTGTCTCTTGGCGTTATGGTCCAGCATGCTAAAGTGCTGTCAAGTGAACATGACAGAGAACTGAGGTTTTGGTGTAGAAATGTTTGGGTCTGTTGTGGTGGGGTGTTTAATGAGAAGGAAGAATGTGCATTTTAGTATCAAATAGCACTTGTTTGTTTTCGCTATCATTGTGCAGTTCTATTCGTAGCTCTCATAATGCAATTATATCAGCACTTGTGAGATGCTGTGTGTTCTTCCAAAATATAAAAGTAGTGTTATGAGTAACTTCAATCATAGCTTTGTCTTTTCTTTCCTTTAGGTCGCCAGTAGATGGGTCTGGGATGTTCAAAGAGACACCTGGATTTCGGCTAAATACGAAACTGCAACATTTATTGCACTGGCTTTGATAACAGCTTGTTATTATGAGTGACACTCCCAAGATGACGCACCTGCTTCTGTGCAGCACAGTACTTGGTATATTTGAAAATTTTCGGAACATCCACTTACCAACAGCATCAGTCCAAAGTCTAGCACAAAAATAACAAACCTGATGTGATAGTTGAGAAAATTTTGACCACTTTGCTTTGTAAAAATAACTTCTGAAATGTGTAAGGTTGAGTACATATGGGCTTCGTCTGTTGTAGCACTCTGCTGTGAAAGTCGGAGCAACTGGTGGAAAGTCGAACTTGAGTAAATTCTGAATGCTGCTTGTCTGTTGTGTGCATTGAGTTGTTAATGAATACTTAGAATAAATTGTAGGTAATGGTTCTCTTGAGTGTGTGCTTTTTTGAAAGAGAAGGCAGTGCTGTTGGCTGTTTTTGTTTTTTTGTAGCTTTATGATAAAATGCCAATTTAGGTAGAAATGTTAAGGGGGAAGCCATCTTTTGCATGCTTGATTTGTGTGAATTTCCATGTATGCTCCTGGAAGGGACTGAGTTTGGTTATTAACATCCTTGAGTATTAGTCTTTTGCTAAGTACTACTTACTTTTGCTAAGCAGGGCTGAGGCAGGTGGGTAAATGCTGAATTCAGCAAGCAGCTTCTCGGGCCCAGGGCAAGAGGACACGTGCTTAGCAGCATGGCTATTGATAACGGGCAATAGGCAAGCACAGTGAGAGCTAATAAGGCAGACCTGTGAGGCCCCCAGAGAGACCTGCTTTTAGAACTGGGGAACGCGGGATGGGAGCGCTGACACCATTTCTATTGTTATGAGCTCCACGTAAATGTTTGAGGCTGTAGGTTTTACCCCTGAACGTGCCGGGGCTGTGCGTACCGGCCGTGCGGAGCGGTGCCCGGGCCGAAGGCTCAGGCAGGAGCGGCTTCGTCGCCGGCCGTGCGGCAGCTTCCCCGCCCGCCGCGGCGGCCCGAGGCGGGGGATTGCGGTCCCCGCGTGGGAGTGGCTTCTCGCTTTGTTCTCCGGTGCGGTGCGGGCGGGGCTGCGTGCGGGCCGAAGTGCAGCGCGGACGGGGGCTCTCCTGCCAGGTACGGCTGCGGGAGCGGCTCCGGGCGCGGCCGGAGGGGGTGCAGGCTGACGGCGGCGCGTTCGCTCCTTCCGCGCAGCGGCGGGGCCGGCTTCAAGCGCCCTCCTCGGGGGGGAGAGCGCTCGCACCGGCTTCCTGCGAGTGCTCCCCCCCGCCCCCCGTACACCCCTCCTGCGCTGGTGGATGGTTCACAAACGTAGCTCGTCCCCGGCTGACGTGCCGGAGACGGAGCAGCCCAGCCCTGCCGGGGCCAGCTCCCGCGCCGGACGGCGGCGGCGGCGCTCGGCGCCCACCACGCCCGGGGGATGCTGCCCCTGCGCGCCGCGCTGCTGCCAAAGCGCTGCCGAGGCGGATCGGCCCCGCGCTCACGGCTGGGCCGCGCGGCCGCCCGAGCGGCGGCGGCTGCGG